AGTGGCTTATTTCAACTAGAATATATTTCAGTCAGAAGATATAGGTTTCATTAAGATATAGAAGTTCATATTGACTGCATTGGCTTATGTTTTTATTAGCCTATATAAATTACATATAATTATGCAATAATGGATTTCGTTATGAAATTTTTATTATTCATATCCATTAAGCTTTAGAAATTATCATTTTTCCTATACTTCTTTCTAGGTTTTACAACTCTTGAAAAAATTTCAAATGCAGAAACCCATTTTAAAATGTTTAGTTTGAAAATTTTAGGTCATGTGGTACAGATTCAGAATGGGTTGGGAAAATAGAGTTTATGGAATTAGGTCTTTGTCTTAATTATTTTTCTTGTGTAAGAATAGTGCAACATGTATGCAGCGCTTTAAAAACACTCTGTATTATTCTTCTGCCAATTGTAATAATGTGTAATACCTAGGGGTAGGATAAGAAAAGATTGGTACTGTTAGTTACATCTGCCCCTGCCCCATTTTTATTCTGTTTATGTATGCATAATAATTATAAGATCACTCAGACACAGCTTTGAAGTATCATAGATTCAGTGTATAGAGAATGCATATATGTGGACACATTAGCTTATGGTATTAACAGAGTGCTTCTAATCACACATTCATAACAAAGTACAAAATCAGTAATTCACAGACCAGATCTATATTGTGTAGTACTATTTCTCATTGTTGTTCCAATGTTGCAGAAAATACAAGAAAACATACCATAGTATTTGACTGTTGTATACTAAGATATAGCATAAGTCTGTTCTCATTTTCCTCATATATATATCAATGACTTATAAATGATATCAACATATAAACAAACAAAATTTGTTATATAGATAGATAGATAGATAGATAGATAGATAGATAGATAGATAGATAATATATATTTTAGAGGTTGTATGATCATAATTTATAAAAAATATTTAACACTTATATAGTTCATGATGCTATTTCAATTGTTACACAGTATTTGCTTATTCTATTACTACTTAAAATGGGAAAAATTCATTTTTCTCAGATCATGTCATTTACAATTTGCATATGCTTATATACTTTTAAATGCAAATATCTAACTATGTAAAAGAATGGGTTAATAGCACATTTTCTGGCTGTTATATTCACACAAAAAGCTATTTATATCATGTCTTCCTTGTTTAGAATTGTTGCTAAAATATTGTTAATGTTGCTAATCTTTAATAAATATTGAGAACAGCATTAGATACCTGTCTGCATCAATGTAATGTACAATGGAATTTTAAGTGTATCTTTCCACTGATTTTTTTAAAACTCTTGTATGCTTTAATAGCAGCATTTGTTCTTACTTACTTATGAAGGTGTAACATTTGATCATGTTTAGTGAATTGGTATAACGAATTTGTATTTTATTACAGAACATTACACACAGTTTCATAATCTTGACATTAAATTTTACTTAATACAAAAAATAAAGATGTTATCAAGAAAGACATATTGACAATAGGAATCAAAGGCTGACTAAAAAGTGAAAATATGTATAGAAATATAAAATAATTGTTGAATGTTATTAATTAATTAGATAAATAGGAACTGAGGAGATGTGTCAAAAATCAACAGTGTTTTTCTTGATGGTCTTCTAGAAGACCCAGCTTTGATTTCTATCACCCATGTTTAGCAGCTCACATATAATTCCATTACTAGGAAGATTTAATGTCTCTGACTTTAGAATACACACATTACCATGCAAATAGACCCACACACACTTAAAAGTAATAAAAAATACATGCTAAAAATTAGAAAATTAAAGTACATTGCAATTTTTCAACAAAGAAATTGTTTGGAATTCACATTTTTGAAAGACTTCTTTCTTTTTATTTTATGTGTATGGATGTTATGTCTGCACTAGGTGAGTATAGTACTCTAAAAACTTAGAAGAGGGTTTCAGATACCTTGGAACTAGAGTCACACATAGTTGTGAGCTTCTGTGTGGATGATAAGATGAAAACCAAGGTACTGTGAAAGAGCAACAAGAGCTTAAGTGCTCCTAACCTCTGAACCATCTCCCCAGTCTCTTAATCATTTTAAAAAGAATAAAAAAAAAATAAGATTTGATGTGGGAAGGTCTTCTGTTTTGTGTTGATTTCATTGGTTAATAAAAAAAAAAAAAACTGCTTTGGCCATTTGATAGGCCAGCCCTCAGGTGGGTGGAGTAGACAGAACAGAATGCTGGGAAGAAGAGGTAAGTGAGGCAATCGCCATGCCTCTCCTCTGGGTCAGATGCATGGAGCCAACCTCAAGGTCAGACATGCTGAATCTTTCCCGGTAAGCCACCACTTTGTGGTGCTACACACATTATTAGAAATGCGTTAATCAAGATGTGAGAGTTAGCCAAGAAGAGGCTGGAACTAATGGGCCAGGCAGTGTTTAAATGAATACAATTTGTGTGTTGTTATTTCGGGTATAAAGTTAACCATGCAGCAGCCAGGAGGTAATGCAGCCCGCAGCTCCTTCTACAAAGATTTAAAAAAAAAAGCTAACACATTTGAGCTAGAAAAAAAAAACAAACAAACAGAAGGAGAAGAGATCAATAGAAGGCACGAGAGAGAGAGAGAGAGAGAGAGAGAGAGAGAGAGAGAGAGAGAGAGAGAGAGAGAGAGACCCACTGGTTTGTAAACTTAGAGATTCCATAAACACACTGAACTGGAAACCATTATGTATATTCAGAGGACCTGGGGCAGAGATGTGCAAGCCTTGTGCATGTCACTTGTCACTTTAGTCTCTTTGAGATCTCATTTTCTTTGAACATGTTGATTTAGAGGGCCCTGTTTCCTTGGTGTAATCTACCGGCTCTGGCTCTTAACACTATTCTTTCTCTGCCTTATTTCTGAGTGGTTCCCTAGGCTTGTAGGGGAGTGATTTGATAGAGGTACCCTGTTTAGGACTAAGTGTTCTAAAATCTTTGTCCCTATTTCTGCCTCACTCTGTCTTTGTATTACTATCTCTGTCTGTCTATCTGTCTGTGGGTCTCTATGTTTGTTCCCATCTGCTGCAGAAGGAAAATTCTCTAATGATGGCTGAGCAAGTGAATGATCTAAGCAATATAGCAAAATGCTATAATTTATTTGTTCATTTAGATAAACAATAGTATTTGATTTTGCCCTAGGTCCCTGTGCTATCTGCTCTTGCATTCTTTGTCAATTAAGCTGGGTAGAGATTCCATCTCATGGAGTGGGCTTTACTGCCACAAACTTTGTGTCACAATTGTAGCAGATTTTGTTGCAGGCTGATTGGTCTTGTTGCTCAAATGGTTTTTGGCAAGGTTTGTGTTTATGTTTCTCTTTTAGTAGCATGAAGAGTACCTTCTAGTACTATGAGCATTAGTCTGTAGAGCTAATGATTCTAGGTAGGCACTAGCTCAACTTTTTTTGTGTTCAATGATTTTTGTCTTTAGCATAAGGTCTTGTCATCAGTTCATAGCATACAACTTATAGCCTTTGCAATATCCTGAGTGTTTGTTGGTTCGCATGGTATATTTTGGTGAACAACTTAATTTCATGTTACCCATTCTCAGTAAGGGAAGCTTCAATAGTTGATGAGAGACATCCAGTCAGGGCTCTGTCTCCCTTCTTATTTGGCAATTTCACTTAGATGACTTTCATTTCTGTATAGATTTTAGGAAGTGTCTGCTGTTTTAGGTTTCCATATGGCCTCTCAAATGGTCCTAATTTTATTTATTATTTCCTGTATTCCCTTCTTATCCTCTGATTTTTATCTCTCCTCCCTTTTTGATTCTCCTATTTCAGTCTGTCCTCTTCATCCATATATAACATGTGTTTTATAGTATGGATGGATCTGCTATTTATTATCATAGGAATATTTGACTAAATTGTTATTAGCATAACCTTCTCCTGATAATTTTTGTGGTTTAAATGTAAAATAAGCAACAGCAATACTCTCTGCAATCTTTATATAAAAGTACTTTTTATTTTCAAATCTAACCCAGTTATTCTTTAGTTTGTCTATTCTTATGCCATTTTATGGGATCAATTTTCATTTTCTGATGCATAAAAATACATTTTCAAATTTGGAACACAGTTTAATCCATATCTTCTATTAAGTGCTTGCTTGCATGTTATTTAAGTGGTCTATACCCTTACCCTAATATGTATTCATAAACTTTAGTCTTCTTTATATATTCTATCAGTAATCTCAGAGGTATGAGTTTCACTGTTTGCTAAAACAAAAGGAAAAACTATTTTCTCTAAATTCCTAAATGAGCAGAAGTATGTATATATGTATGTATATATCTATCTGAAATTTGCATAACTATAATTTATACTAATTTGTTTATTGACCTGAAAAGGATCAAATCATATTTGCATTTCATAATCTATCCCTTATATTTAGATATTTTTCATAATAACCCATTTTCTATTTTAGAAGACTTTTGCTTTGAATTCAGACTTGAGCAAGTCCTTCATGTGTAAATATATTTTGCCTAGTTTCATCTGGATAGTTGTGCATCATTATCATGGAACTGAGAATATAGAATATTATATTAAATGTCTATTGACAGTAAAATAATTATTTTGAAATTCTCAGTACTCAAAAAATAAGAGTATTTTTGTGATTCTAACAAATACACTTTTATTTTTCCTTAACTATTGAATTGAATATTTAAAGGAATTGTGTTTTCTTTAGATATCATAATATATTAATATAAATAAATATCTTTAATAGTGGACATTGTTTTTAATATCCCATCTCTTAAGTACCATTGTTAATACTTCAGATATCGTTGTACTATATAAATGCATGATAGTTGATTCAGAACAAATTTGTCATTTATTAGTGCTTATATTTCATTTAATTTTTGGATTTAAAACCATTTAGTTAACATGAACTTTTATGATTGGTTTTCTAATAATTTCTTTTTTCTCTTTCTCTCCTTATTTTCTCTTTCTCCTCCTCCCTCCCTCTATCCTTCCCTGTGTTTTCTTTGTCAGTATACTGTGGGCCAACAAACAGTGCCTTTGGTATCGAGACTGGTATGGACTTGTTGTCCGGGACGTATATATTTGCGGTCCTGTTAGCATGTGTCGTGTTTCAGTCTGGCGCCCAGGAGAAGAATTACACGGTCCGAGAAGAAATGCCAGAGAACGTCCTGATAGGCGACTTGTTGAAAGACCTCAACTTGTCGCTTATTCCCGACAAGTCCTTAACCACTCCTATGCAGTTCAAATTGGTTTACAAAACCGGGGATGTACCACTGATTCGAATTGAAGAAGGTACTGGTGAGATCTTCACAACAGCCGCTCGCATTGATCGTGAGAAATTATGTACTGGAATCTTGCTGGATGCCCGTTGCTTTTACGAAGTGGAGGTTGCCGTTTTGCCAGATGAAATTTTTAGATTGGTTAAGATACGGTTTCTGATAGAAGATATAAATGATAATGCACCATTATTCCCAGCAACTGTCATCAACATATCAATTCCAGAGAACTCGGCTATAAACTCTCGATATTCTCTTCCAGCAGCCATTGATCCTGACGTCGGAACAAATGGAGTTCAAAACTACCATCTAATTAAGGTGCGAAAAAAAAAAAAACATTTTGTTAAAGATATTAACCCCCTTTTAGAGTATAAGATCTTTTTGTACTTCTAAGTAAAACTATCTTCATCACTTTCCATTGTTTATGCAAAGCAAACTAGAGAAAACTCACTATTCAATCACATCAGTCTTTAAAAACCTGCGCGCGCTCTCTGTCTCTCTGTCTCTCTCTCTCTCTCTCTCTCTCTCTCTCTCTCTCTCTCTGTATGTGTGTATTCCTTTCCAAACATTTGTGTTTTCATGAGCACATATAGACCACAGACAAGGAGCTCAGCTATGATATTCACGAATCAATAGACTACTTGGTATCTGACTTTGAACTTTCTCATAAACGTCATCTAAACACAGAAGCAGGCAGATCTTTGTGAGTTTGAGACCAGCCTGGTTTACAAGAGCTAGTTCCAGGACAGGCTCCAAAACTACAGAGAAAAACTGTCTCAAATAAAACCCAAACAACAACAACAAAAACAACACACAATTCTGTGTTAAGAATAACTAGGTGAGTGGGTACACCCCACGTGGTCCTGACTTCCTTGCTCATGTTCTCCCTTCTTCTGCTCCTCATTGGGACCTTGGGAGCTCAGTCCGGTGCTCCATTGTGGGTCTCTGTCTCTATTTCCATCCATCGCCAGATGAAGGTTCTATGGTGATATGCAAGATATTCATCAGTATGGCTATAGGATAGGGTCATTTCAGGTTCCATATCCTCAGCTGCCCAAGGAACTAACTGGGGACATCGCCCGGGGCACCTGGGAGCCAATCTAGGTTCGAGACTCTTGCCACCCCTAAGGTGGATCCCTTAACTAAGATATGTTGATCTATTGAGAGCTCACCAAGGCCAGCTGGACTGTGACTGAAAAAGCATGGGATAAAACCAGACTCTCTGAACATGGCTGACAATAAGGGCTGATAAGAAGCCAAGGACAATGGCACGGGGTTTTGATCCTACTTCATGTTCTGGCTTTGTGGGAGCCTAGCCAGTTTGGATGTTCACCTTCCTAGACCCGGATGGGGGGGGGCTTGGATTTTCCACGGGGCAGGTACCCTGACTGCTCTTTGGACTGGAAAGGGAGGAGGAGAAAAGTGGGGGGAGGGGGAAGGGGTGGGAGGAGGGGGAAGGGGTGGGAGGAGGGGGAGGGAAATGAGAGGCTGGGAGGAGGCGGATTTTTTTTTCTTTTCAATAAAAAAAAATAACTAGGTGAGGCAATGAATTTTTAAAGCATTATTTCAGACAAAAAGCTTAATCTTAGCACTTGAAAATATGTAAAATTATGAGAGGTAAATAAGAGGACATTGTTCTTGAGGAGCTCATACATTATATAATTAAATATGATAATATATACCCACATCACTTGGCCCTAATTCCTTCAATAATCTCTCAATATGTCCCCATCTGAAAGTCTTTTATTACTAGCATTTCTGAATTTATTTAGATTATTGACAAATTTTTCATGATGATTAAAAGTCAAGGCTATATCTCTCATCATCTTCACAATCCTCAAAGTGGAACTAAGTATTGGTCGCTAGACTTTTATTTTTACATATTTTTGTTTTGACTGTGTTATTTGAAAACATAGAAGTCATTTTGTCTTATAAAAAGATAAGTAGTTTTTGTCGAAATTTTTTAGTTAATCTAAATAGTTTAGTTTATCTTGATTTGAATCTTGTGATAGGAAAAAAAAACAAAGGAAAGCATGAATGAAATATTGCATGTTTTAAAGAAATGTCAGAGGTCTGGTGAACCAAGTACATGGGTATTGTGTGTGTGTGTGTGTGTGTGTGTGTGTGTGTGTGTGTGTGTGATTACTGGGAAGCTTGCAGAATTATTGAAAGCTCAGTTACTGGAATGCCAAATAATAAAATTTACTTAGTGGTCTTTAGATAGTAAATACATTTGCAGGTATTATATTTATATTAAAAGCTTTTTAAAAAATCTTATTTTTTTCATATTAGGTGCTACCAAATTGTCATTAACATTATGACTGCTGTTTCAAAGAATTAGAAGAGCATACATGTATTTCATTCTGATGGTTATAATCTGTAAACATTGACCCAGAGGGCATATAATATGGGACAATTGTTCGTCTGACCCCATTATTTTTATAAGATGCATATTTTTAAAAAGAAATTTAAGACAACAGTCTTCCTGAGTGAACTCAAATGAAAGAGAGATATGGTTCTATAATGATATTTACTTTTCTAGTGAATTGGAAAATAAACAGGAAAGATATTAATCAGAATTTTGTGCACATTTTTTTTTGGTCAGTCCATTTCTTAACAAATGTCCTACCTCCTGTCTTTTCTCTCTGTAAAAAATACATATGGCTTGTTCTGTAATTACTAAAACGATGAAGTCTAAACAAAAAGCACTTAACAAAAGGTACAGAAGCATGCATGAAATATTATAGTGATATATTCAAATATTTTAGTACTTAAAAATGTAAACCATCAAACTTTAAATTGTAAGTGGTATAGCAAAATTGACTCTGAAGAAACCCTTTTCAATTAAACTTTCTGTAATGATGAATTATTTCTCTCTTTGATATGCAAATGGGTAGACTTTAAGTGTATGATACCTGTGTACTTGAAAAGCTAAAAAGATACCAAGGAACTGAATTATTTTTCTATGTTATCTCATTTCTTGTATCATTAGATGTTATTTAAGAATTCTATACATGTATGTAATGCATATTGATCAAATTCTCACACTCACTTCCTTTGAACTCTTTCTATATCCTTATCATTTTTACTCCCAACTTCAGGCACATTTTTTTATCCACTGAATTTGTATAAGGCTGCCAGGATCCTCTAATTTAGTATCAATTTTAATAGCCCTAATTAGTGAATGACTATAATACCGTATATGAGATTGTAAACACAAGTGGTATATTTAGGAAATAAGAGTAAAAATTAAAGTTAAAACAGGGTCTCAGAAAACTGAAACCAGACAATAGAACTATTCTGGATCTATCCACTAGACATTCCAAAATGTGTATTATTTAAAATGCTAGACTTCATTTATGGAACAACTTTGTCATCTATTCCCTAAGACAACTCTATACAGTTTCATATTTATATTAAAAACTTTTTACCAAATTTAAATGAAACAATCATGCTGGGATGGAATCTAATTTCTTAATATAATTTTGTTTATAATTTGTTTCTTAAAATATCAATAAATTCTAAATAGTCAACCTCACTATATGATTATAAATAATTTGGAGATATATGGCAAGCATTTTGTTATGTTTTAGAGTGTATGATACAACTAAATAATTACATATTGCACCTAAATTATTTGGCTATTTTTATTGGATCATGAATAAGTAATATTAGGAGTGCTTGTTAAAAATAATGAGAATGGAATAAAAGTACTGCCCTGGGCACAAAATAGGCTATGACATGGATTGGGTGACATTAAGTGAATGCACTTTGACTTACAAAAAAAAATGTATTGTCAGGAAAGTGACATGTATTCTATAGGAGAGCACCTGAAAACTAACAAACAAGAAAAAAATAATGTTTTGATTCATCAATAAATTTTAGTTAATTTTACGGTTTGAAAATAAGTAATCCAACAATAAGTTTCTAAAAGATTTTTTGTCTTATAGGTTGGTAATTAATTATTGTTAATCTGAGCTATCTTACTGAAGATCAGAGTAGCAAAATTGCAGTTGATCATAACTAGGGTAATAGAAATTATATATATATATATGTAAATGTCAAATAACAGAGAGAATATGCAGAAATTTTGTTCAATTTACAGTTTCAAATTAACTGAAATTAAAAGTAATGGGGGAAAATAGCATAAAATATCTTGGAGTAACTCTACCTAAACAAGAGAAAGATTTGTATGACAAGAACTTTAAATCTTTGAAGAAAGAAATTGAAGATTGAAGAAGAAACCAGAAAGTGGAAAGATCTTCCATGCTCTTGGGTAGGTAGAATTAACATAGTAAAAATAGCAATCTTACCAAAAGCAATCTGTAGATTCAATGCAATGCCCAGCAAAATTCTTTACATACCTTAAACGAATGGTACTCAGCTTCATATGTTAAGGCAAAAAAACCCAGGATAGCCAAAACAATCCTGTAAAATAAAAGAACTTCTGGAGGCATCACAATCCCTGATTTCAAACTCTACTACAGAGCTACAGTAATGAAAACAACCTGGCATTGGCATAAGAACAGACAGGAAGACCAATGGAACTGAATTGAAGACCTGGATTTTAATTTACATGCATTCAAATGCCTGATATTTGACAAAGAAGCAAAAAATATCAAATGGAGAAAAGAAAGAATATTTAACAAATGGTGCTGCCAAAACTGGATATCAACATGTAGAAGAATGAAAATAGATCCATATCTATCACCATACATAAAAGTCAAGTCCAAATGGATCAAAGACCCCAACATAATGACAGCCACACTGAACTTTACAGAAGAGAAAATGGAAAGTACACTTGAATGCATTGGCAAAGCAGATCACTTCCTAAATATAACCCCAGCAGCACAGACACTGAGAGAAACAATAAATGAGACTTGCTGAAACTGAAAAGCTTCTATAAAGCAAAGGACACAGTCAACAAGAAAATGACAGCCTACAAAATGGGAAAAGATCTTCACTAACTCCACATCAGACAGAGGTCTGATCTCCAAAATATACAAAGAATTCAAGAAATTGGTCATCAAAAGAACAAATAATCCAAGAAAAAAATGGAGTACATATCTAAACAGAGAACTCTCAACAGAGGAATCTAACATGCCTGAAAGGCAAGTAATGTTCAACATTCTTAGTCATCAGAGAAATGCAAATCAAAACAATTCTGCGATTCCATCTTACACCTGTAAAAATGGCCAAGATCAAAAATGACAACTTATGCTGGAGAGGTTGTGGGGTAAAGAGAACACTCTTGAATTTCTGGTGGGAATGCAAGCTGGTACAGCCCCCATGGATGTCAGTGTGGCTATTTTTCAGAA